GAGGGTCATCTACCATTTTATCCATGAGAAATGAGACATTTTTTCCTGCCTCATTCCTCTGTCTCCTCATCTACTGGGTCCTGTCCAGGACAAACATCTTACACAGACGTATAGATAACAGAACGCCACAAACCCCCAGGATTTCCCCAAATCCAAGCCTATGTCTGTGTACTTGGATGTAAATCCCATAGAGTTCAGTGGAGATTCCAAGAAACTGCCCATGGGACTGTAGCCTTTATTTTAGTTCTCCTCTCTTCCTATTTTCACTGCAGTGTCTCTGCAGCAACTATTATACACCCAATTACATTAAAAATGCATCTAAGGTAATTGAATAAGCAGATGAGATTGCTCATGGCCCTCCCATTATCTTTACAGAAGCTTTTCCTGGATTAAGGCTGCAATCTTCAGGACAGCAAGAACTGTTCAACAGTGAAACAGACTCCATTGGATTCTTCTACATTGAAGGTATTTAAACCGAAGATGGATTCCCTCCAAAATTTCTCCAATGAAAATACGGATGTTCCATTCCATAATTATAATTTTACTATTTACACCCTATGCATCTTACTGGGTCGCCCCAGCCACTCTGGGCAGCTTCAAACATACATAAAAACATGATAAAACATTAAAAATTAAAAAAAACTTCCCGATACAGGATTGCCTTCAGATGGCTCGGAGGTTGGATTACTCCATACCCTCCAACATTTCTCCAATGAAAATAGGGACATCCTAAGGAAAAGTGGGACATTCCAGGATCAAATAAAAAACCAGGATGGTTTATCTAGATCAGGGATGTCCCTGGAAAATAGGGACACTTGGAGGGTCTGTGAATATCTGTCAAGGATTCTAACATTGTGATTCCTGCATTTCAGGGAGTTGGCCTAGATGACCCTTGGGACCCCTTCCAACCCTACAATTCTATGGTTATAATTTACAAGGGACACGGGTGGCACTGTGGTCTAAACCACAGAGCCTAGGGCTTGCTGATCAGAAGGTCAGCGGTTCGAATCCCCGTGACGGTGTGAGCTCCCGTTGCTCGGTCCCTGCTCCTGCCAACCTAGCAGTTTGAAAGCACATCAAAGTGCACGTAGATAAATAGGTACCGCTCCGGCGGGAAGGTAAATGGTGTTTCCGTGTGCTGCTCTGGTTCACCAGAAGCAGCTTAGTCATGCTGGCCACATGACCCAGAAGCTGTCTGCGGACAAACACCAGTTTCTCAGCCTATAGAACGAGATGAGCGCCGCAACCCCAGAGTCGTTTGCGACTGGACCTAATGGTCAGGGGTCCCTTTACCTTTACCTTTACTCATTTACAAAGGAGCCATTCCTGTCAAACACAGGGAAACTAGCTTTTGAGTCTAAGATTGTGCAGCCCATCATTAGATTGTGCACTCAGGGATGATTCTGACATTACCTTTTCATGTGTACTGGGGTGTAGCCTTGCCAGAAAAGCAGTAGCATTAATAGTCCTGTATGGTTAGCATATAAAGCCCCAAGCAGCTGAGACCAGGGTATCTGAATGACCGCTTTGTCCCAGATTCTTGCAGTCACCTGATGAGGCCCGCTTGACTGCCCTGCAGTTATCTTATATTTGTTTAATTTTTACATGTACCAAGGCATTTAGCACAGTGGCCCCAGTAATTTGGAAAACACTTTCTATCAAAATCAGACAGGCATCAACAATCATCTACTGAAAACAGTTTTGTGAGTCGAGGCCCCTCCCCCGCTTGGAGATAAAATAATACACATGGACACAAGTATTTAGGTTAATGGGTTAAGAAGGCCACAACTTTATTGGTTACAGAATGTGAGTGGTATTGGCTTAGGCATTGGATCGGACAGACTATACTTGACTCCTGCCCGCTCTGCCTATCGAAATCAGACAGGCATCAACAATCATCTACTGAAAACAGTTTTGTTTCGCCAAACAGTTTTGAAGAATTTGATTAAGTGTTAATTGTATACTATTGTATACAATTATGTATTTCAATGATTTGACAGTTTATACATATTCTTATAAATTAAAATTTAAAAATCACTGGGGGTTGCTGTTGTGAATTGGTTGGTGTTTCTTTATTTTCTGTATTTGGGCTCATCAAGTTGTTGTTGCTTCTGACTTTTTGGGTCGTTCTGCTTTTATGAGTCATGTAAACAATCTGCTAATTCAGGATAATGCTTCATGCATCTGATGAAGAGAATTCTCTTCCACAAAAGCTTAACCTACACTAAAGTTGCTACTCTTGAAACTGCTGCATGACTTTTGGGTGATTTTGCTGTCATGCATTAGCACAACACTACCCCTCTGGAATTTGTTCTGATAGTTGTACGGATCACATTTCTTTTGAAGTGCTAATGGCACACCAGGAATTCAGAGAGCTCTGATGTAATTTTTGAAACTTGGCTATAATGCCAGTAAACCTAATGTAGAAAATAAGGAAAGCTGCAAGCCTAGGCACAATTACATGGGAGTAAGTCCATGTGGATTACGTCTGAATGCACCTACAAAGATGCACACAACTTCTTTGAGGGAGCCACAAGACTTTAAATGTTAATTACCTGCACTGTCTGTTGGTGTCTCTGAAGCTCCAGATAATCACAGCACTGGTAATTTGAAAGGAAGTCTGCACATCTTTTCTTTTGCACAATGAAAGCATCATGTAATTTAGGACCTTCTGATTCTTGCTGCTTGGGAAATTATGTATCCATTATGCAACTTTCATCTTTGTTGTGTTATTTATGTATGAGTTTCCAAAGAACTAAATGCATTATATGCAATACCATACCAATGAAGAAATCCAGAATATGCATTAAACTCAAACCCCCTTTCCTAAAGCCCCGCCCTTTGTCTTTTTCAGTGCACAGCACGCAGTTTAAATGAACAATTAAATAAGAGGAGAAAACCACTGTGAATTAATTAGCAGTTCTAATTGAAAGCAATGCACATTTGGGTGTGTGTGTTTTTTTTATAAAGTGCTTATCCAGCCTACTGAAAGAATTGTTTAAAGTTTATAGAACACTAAATTGTCTACGCTATGCAATTATCCAAAATGATGATTTCAGGGGTGTTGTTGTTGTTTTTGCCATTTTCGGCTTTAAAACACAGTGATGGATTCAGTTCTTTGAAATTCTTTTTTTTTTTAAATGGCAGGAACAAATATAGAACCTGACTGTAGTCCTGAGTGTTCTGATATAACTGGGTGGAATGGTGGATGGTTGTGGAGAGGAGCGGCATGTTTAAGAGATGTTGTTCAGCTCAACCTCTCCTGCAGGCCCTTTCTCCAAATCCCAGAAGTGTGCAAGTTGTGGATCAATCACTAGTAATAATGACACTCTGCACATGCTGAAAAGCTGTCTATGGGTTTACATGTATTGAAAATAAGTTATGAACTTAAGCCAAAGTTTATTTACTTTTGAATTGGATTTTTATCCGAATGAATTGCAGAGATGTTGGGCAGACCACAAGGTATTAGATATATTTTTAATATATTAAGTACGTAATATCATTGTTGGCATCTGTCTCGAGAGTCAATCAAGTGCACCTCCAGGGGGGAGGATAAACCATTGCATTAGCAGCACTGCAGTTACCCCCCCCCCCCACAGAAGCCTGGGCTATGTGTATAGAAGACCTGGGCTGTTCAGATAAGACCTCCTCTCAGCCTCGCTGATGTGGTCCAAAGGAAAGCAGAGCAATATGTTTTGCACCAGCTTGGCTGCATGTGTTGCCAGAAGGAGGCGTACTGGGCGCCATTCAACTGTCTTAGGGACTCCACTCTGGATTTGTGTAGGGTTTACTCCGTAGACTTTTCTTCTCCCAAAGATATCTGGCAGTGGAGGTTTAGGATCAGAGTTTTCCTTCTCCTAGGTGGACTTCGACTTACCTTCCCAGGTTGACAAGACCCATCTGCCACTCACTTCCTTCTACAGCACGTGCAGATTAAATAAAACAATAATCAACAATCAGCAATATAGCAGCAGTTCTCTGAGCAGTTTCAGATGACTGAGGTTGCCTGACATTTTAATTTCCCACCATGCCTCATGTTGAGAAGAGAAGAAGAGCTTGGATTTGATATCCCGCTTTATCACTACCCGAAGGAGTCTTAAAGCGGCTAACATTCTCCTTTCCCTTCCTCCCCCACAACAAACACTCTGTGAGGTGAGTGGGGCTGAGAGACTTCAGAGAAGTGTGACTGGCCCAAGGTCACCCAGCAGTTGCATGTGGAGGAGCGGAGACGCGAACCCGGTTCCCCAGATTACGAATCTACCGCTCTTAACCACTACACCACACTGATCATGTCCGGCACCTGGTGTTCAATTAAATTGGCAGTTGACTCCAATCACCAAGTGGTGCTCAAAGCATGGGAAATGTTTTTAAAAGGTCCCAGGGCAGGCATCAACAATGGGCCCTGTCTAGACACTGTGGCCCCAGCAACTGCTCAAGGATGTCAGGTTCTGGCACCATTCCTCTCCATCTCAGTGCATTTTGCACAGGCCACTTGGAACAGGAATTTCAATTGGGAAGTGACCAGTCACCCTCCAATGGCCCTTGAGGAAACTTGGGCGTATTCTGGTGGTCAATTGATGGCATTCTTTTTCTGTGAACACCCCATAATCAAACCCCTTCCCCTTTTTCTCCAGGTTATTGCAGACCAAGAAAAGAAAACACTCTCAAAGAGATCTTAGTTTAACAAGAACAGCCAAAGCCTTTAAACAACAAAAAGGGGGGCGGGAACACAAGAGAAATGTCCCCTCCCCTTTGCATAATAATAAACTTCCCCTCCTCATCCTGTTTGGATACAATTTTTAGTCTGCTGGCATTTATTTTTGCTTTGAAGCGAACAAGGCAGGGCAATCAGGAGGCGGGCATGGGCAACTAGCCTAGCCCCCTCATCCTCCACCATCTCCAAACTGCCACCTCCTCCAGCGAGCTGCATTCGGATGATCTCAGAAGGTGAAAGGTAATCCCCACGTTGGCACGACTCGAGCGCCACCTAGCCGGGAAGTGGCGAGTCTCGCGTTCCCTGGAGTTGAGGGCAAGCGGCTGGCGAGTCTCGCCGTTGTAAACGCGCACCCGCGCCGCGGAACACAAAACCCCGACCGCTCCGGGGGCGCGCCTCGTCTCCAGCAGCGTCTTTGCGCGGGGAAAGCCCAGGCTCTGGTGAGGCAGGGGGAGGGGGAGAGAGGCGTGTTGCTTGAACAAAACCAGGGCGATTTCGATCGTGTGGAGAGAGAGAGAGAGAGAGAGAGAGAGAGAGAGAGAGAGAGATTGAAGCTGAAGAGGCGCTCGGGTCTCTCTCCTTTCCCCAGAAGCTGACGGGGAGTAGAAGGGACCCCCTTCTCTCCAAATCGGGAAGAAGGCGCCCAAAGGGAGCCAAGCTCGGGCACTTGGCTCCTCTTCTCCCTCCCCCAGGGCCCTGGGGGTGCGCGCCGTGCAGACAAAAGCGAGAGACTGGAGACGGAGAGAGAGAGAGAAGCAAGCGGCTGGCAGGGAAGAAGAGCCCCTCAGACACGTTGCACACAGGCGCACAAACACACGCGCGCCCTCTCTCCTCTCACACACCCCAGATCCATCTTGAAGGTGCTCTCCCGTGCCGTCTCGCCACCGCCGCCGCCGCGCCCGGCTCGCCCAGCTTCCCGGGACTTTGGTAGGGAATGCCCTGGCGCCTCCTTCGCCAATGTTTCACTGGAGCAAGTGGAAGAAGAGGATGGGAGCCAGCATTTCCTCCTCGTCTTCCAAGAGACCCGTCTTCGACGAGAAGGAGGATGGTGAGTAAGAGCAGCCCTTTTCTTCTCCCTTTCTGCTTTTCAAACACTGCCCATCCTTCCTTTTACGCGCGAAGGGCGCGTGTGGACTGTGCATGTCTGTCCAGGGAAGAGTCCGGCTCAGGAACTCCGCTCCGGAAAGGGTCGTCGTGGGACCCTCTAAGGCGGCACTTAGGGGGAAAGTGAAATGGTAGGAAACTCAGAAGTGCTTTGTGGACGGCGCGCGCGGGGGGGGGGGGAATCGATGGGCTTGAGATGCCTCCGACAAGACTGCCCGGAAATGATGTAGCCAATTGCGGGCGCATGGCCGGGCAAAGAGGCAGTTTCTGTAAGAAAGAGAAGAGTGAATGAAGATTGGGGTTTGTTTTCTGCCTCCGGAAGGGGCACATGGTGTCCGCACGGTTCCGTGTCTGTGGTTTATGCCTTTGCCATCCTGTAAGTTTACTTCTAAGCGCAAACGTATACAATTCATAACTTTTTTTAAAAAAAAATTATAAGTCGCACATCCGTATCAGATGCAGAATCTGGAGCTGGTAGTATGCAAATATGACCATTGCATAGATATAGGAGGCTTTATATTATATTATTAAACCTCCTATACTGTATCTATATATTATAATTCTATGTCCTTTTCTTTTAATTTGATAAAACCATGGGGGGGGGCTAATAGGATTAGACATTTGCACGTGTTAATGGCAGGGGATTATGGAACAAGGAGAGCTGTGAAAATTTGGTAATGGGGATTAGGCTCTATAGATCACTTTTGATAATGGAGATTAGGCTATTTAGACTGGAAGAGGAGGCTGCAGCAAGCTTGTGTACATTTACTCAGGAGTAAACCCTTCTGAATTCCTAGAGGAACATGCACAGAATTGGATTGTGCATGCTACAGGTCCTCTCAGGATTTGCTTACATTAAACTGGTACAGTACTACCATACAGAATTAGCAGGATGCACTGGTTGATGGTAAATGGTATTATTCCTTCTATGCATTATTAATATTTTAGCAGTGTTCATTGGCTTCTGTGATAAAGAGTGCTGAGAAAGAAACTGTCGTGAATCACAGGTGCCCTACAGGACCCAACTCACTGAAGGCTTAGAGTGCAAAAGGAAATATAAAGTTCTAAAGAAAATGAACCTCTACACAACCCATTAGTTTCTGAACACTCTGAATAAGCACTAAGACCCAGCCATCTATAATTTATATATATATATATATATATATATATATATATATATATCCAGTAGCACCTTGGTGACCATCCAAGTTTGTTCTTGGTATAAGCTTTCGTGTGCATGCACATTTCTTCAGATACCATGCACATGAAAGCTTATACCAAGAACAAAGTTACCATAGTTGGTCTCTAAGGTGCTACTGGACTCTCTCTCTCTCTCTATATATATACAGTGGTGCCCCGCAAGACGAAATTAATTCGTTCCGCAATTTTTGTCGTCTAGCGAATTTTTCGTCTTGCGAAGCATGAAATCCCATAGGAATGCATTGAAAATCAATTAATGCGTTCCTATGGTCAAAAAAAGTCCAAACAAAGCCAAATTTGGTACAACAACAGTTTATTAACTGCTCTTTAAAGTCACACATACTGTAAAGAGCAGTTCAAAAATTGAAGGGAAAATAAATTAACTTTATAAACAAAACATGTCTTTGTTTTTAGACAAAGAAAACAAAGTCGCGAGACGTTTTCGTCTTGCAAAGCAAGCCCATAGGGGAAATTCGTCTTGCGAGGCAAATCGAAAACGGAAAAACCTTTCGTCTAGCGAGTTTTTTGTCTTGCGAGGCATTCGTCTTGCGAGGTACCACTGTATATCAACTGTGTCAGACCAACACGGCTGCCTACCTGTATCATTTTTAATACAGTAGTACCTCGGTTCACGAACTTAATCTGTTCTGGAAGTCCGTTCTTAAACTGAGGCGCTCTTTCCCTAACAAGGCCTCCCGCCACCGGTGCCCTTCCACTGTTTGGCTTCCGTTATTAGACCAAGGTAACAAGGTAAAGTTTGCAAACCAGGACACTACTTCTGGTTTTGCGGAGTTTGTAAACCAAATAGTTCATAAACAGGGTTGTTCTTAAACTGAGGTACCACTGTATTAGAGTGGTAGCAATTTTTCCTGCAAGATAGCTTTTGGAGTTAGATGTGTTTACTGTGTTTGATCGGAGAACTGTTGGAAAACAGCCCAGTGTCTCACATCTGCTGGTCACTTCATTTAAAAGACCCTTCTTTATAGAATACTCGGTAAGATTCTGTGCCTGAATAAAACATCACGTCATAAATGTGTTAGAAATAAGCTACACAATTTGCACTTTTATTTTAGTTTGGTGAATTCATTTATAAATTATCTTTGAACAACTTTAATACCTAGGAATCTCTAAACAAAACTTTTCTGCCCTTCCTTTTCATTCTCGTGTCCTGTCACCAAGCTGGATTCAAATTACCATTTTTCATATTAGAGCCTGCTTATTCTGACCATTGGTACATCTAGCTCAATGTTTATGCTGATTGGCAGTCACTCACAGACAGATGAATTGGAAATGCTGAAAATCAACCCTGGGATCTTCTGCATGCAAGCACTGAGCTGTATTCCCCACCCCCACCCCTAAAATAGTTGCAAAACCTCTGTGTGTGTGTGTGTGTGTGGAATGTTTTAACTCCTTTTCCTGATTTTTAATTTATTTTAAAAATTACCATTAATTCTTCATTAGTTTAATAAGTGAGAAGAACAATGTATATAGTGATCTTGAAAATGCATGCTAAGATCATTTCCGTTATCTTGTAAGAAAAAAAAATGCAGAACACCTATAAATTTAGATGTTAATTGGCTCCCATGTTTATCCCATATCCTGAGCGAGCCATGGAACTGAGAACTTCCTTCTTCTGCTACTCTTAATGGGTAGACTGAGTGTAACTCGTGAGCTGAGAGATCCCATGCTAATTTGAAGATGGGCTCTTCTTGACCTGGTGAGGTAAAATGCACCTTGTTGGCCTGTGACTTGCTTCTGCTCTTGCTAGAGGAACAATCCTGGGGGAGAGAATTAGCACCTGAACAAGTGCCCAGATTCTTTTGAGGATGGAGCAAGACAACTATTGCAAGCCTTCTTTGGCAATAAAAGCCTTACTCAACCTGATGCACTACAGATAGTTTGGACTTCAACTTCCTTTAGTATACTGCTGTGCTGGCTGGAGCAGATGCCCAAAACGTCTTGTGGAGAGAGACCAGGTTAGGGATGGCTGGGCTGGATATATAATATGGCATAACTTACAGCCCTCTTCAGGTGTTCAAAACAATGCATGTGGGTTTAAAGTGTGGAGGGGTGCGCATGCAAGACCTGCTTCCTTTGTCTGCTCATGCACCATGTTCAGCTGAATGTGGTTAGAATCCTGCACAATGAGAGTTCCTGACCGAAGGGAGGATTCTAGCCTTGTTTAGCCGGGTGCAGTTAGAATCTCTCTGCCGATCTTCATGGTAAACACATGACATTCGGGAAAGACATACAAGAAGATGCTGGTGGTGGGGATGGCATAGGTCCCCCCCCCCTTGCCCATTTGAGGACTGCAAAGGATGATTCCTTCATCATCACAATAGTTCTGAGAGACAGTACTGTTGATAGACCAGGACAGAAATGCACTAAACAACAACAACCTAGTTTGCTTTTGCTTTTACGAGCTCTGCAATGTGGTGCCTACTTTGTCAGATGATGGCTCCTGATGGTGAAAGCAGAAATCTATTTTGTTTTTGCTCTTAGGGAATAGGAGCTGTGCTCCTGCATGCATTTGTGACACCACATTGCTGTGCTCATGCTGTTAGACCTAACTGAATCGTGCGAGCATCAGCATTGTAGCTTAGTTGGCCTGCATTGCTTCCAGATGTCCTGTTTCTTTATCCCAGTTTCTTTGCGGAAAGCTTGTGTGGAGATTATATGCTGTCCACTGTTAACTGAGCATTAATTTGGACTTGTTTGTGGGGAGGTGACATGACTTCCTGTCCATTGCTATTCCTCCTGACTGCATTTGTTTGCCCACCACTTTCCTTACTGCCAGAAATCTGTTTTTTTAAAAAAGCAAGTTTGTTGTGCCAGAGTGCATAAATCCTCTTTAATTGCACAAACCTAAATTTGCGGTATGTGATTGAATCCCTCTTGCAAAGCGGCGAGTCTGGAGTCTTATCAGAGACAGTTTTGATGGTCAGTCCAGTTGTTATTCAAGATGGTGTGCTGTATAGGCACTTGCATCACATACCAGGAAATTCGCATTGTGGAATTGTAGTTGATGGGGAGGTCTTGTGCAACAAACCCACTCCTCCCCCCAAAACCAGACTTCTTATGATAAGGAAAGTGACTGGAAAATGCACTGGGTAGTATGAGATCCCAGCTGCTTAGCATCTAGCCTCCCTGCAAACAAATCAGAAGGAGTGATCATTAAACAGGTCATCTGGAAGCTATAGAATTAGAACAGAATAGAATAACATCAAACACCCCACCCTTCACAATCTCAAGTTAAATTGTTTCAACTCGGAGGCCACAAACAACAGCTGACTAATAAGCCAAGCCAACCTTTGTGGACCCCACAATCTGTTCCCTCCTTTCGTATGTGAAAAAACCTTGGGTAGGGTCCTGTTTCATTTGCACTCGAGTATGCAGAATATGTCTGAAAGCGTAAATGTCCCTTGCTGTGCTGAAGAGACAACTGCTTTTTTCTTTTCTTTTTAACTTTCTCAAAATGGCAGGGCATTTGAAAGCTTTGGAGAGAGGGTCTGTGCCCTTGGTGCACTGCTTACCAGAGCACCTCCACACTCTGGGCAAGCGGATCAAACATTTTTCTCACTGTTACTGATAGTTTCTTATATTACACCTGCACTTGAAGCATCAAATTCTGGTGCGATGTGAGCTTGTCACTATATGAAGGAAGTCGAGAAAAAATAGTGAGGGGTGATATAATTCCCAGGTCTTCTTAAGAAACCTGCATTCACTTTGGCTGAGCAATCAGGC